CACGGATAGTTTCAAGGTATTCATCTTTCTTTGGTATGTGTGTATTGATTTCAAGAGGAAGGGAGAGGGATAGAGAGATAGGAACTTCGATGAGAGGAACATCATCGATCGGCTACCTCCTGGACGTCCGTCCCCTACTGGGGATCGAGCCCACAACCCAGGCATGGGCCCTGGCCTGGATTCGAACTGGTGACCTCTTGGTTAGCCTAACCAACTTGGGACTGGGAATAACATGACAGGCAGCCTCCAAGATGGCCATTGGTGATCGCCACCCGCCTCTGATATCCATGCTCTTGTGTAGTTCCCTCCCACCATGTGTTGGTCGGTGTGACCGATAAAATAAGGCACAGTGTCCCTCTCTCGAGGCGCTCGCTCCGGGGGGAGCCAACCGCCATGCTGTGAGTCTACACAGCGAGAAACCAAGGCCTCCTTTCAAAAGCCGCTGAGTGAGCCACCTGGCAGCAAGCCCAGGATCACAGTGGCAGACGCGGGTGGCAGACAGGGCTCCTGCAGGCGGCCCCAGCGGCTCCTAAAAGAGGAAGTAGAGGCCTAGGGCGGTCAGATGACCCATAACATCACACATTGGTCAGCCCCCAGGCCGCAGCACTCACGGTCTGATTTTATGTTTTAAATATATTTCTGTGGATTTCAGAGAGGCAGGGAGAAGGAGAGAGAGATGCGAGTATCAGTGATGAGAGAGAATCATGGGTCAGCTGCCTCCTGCACGACCCACGCTAGGGATTGAGCCCAGACTGGGAATCGAACCGTGACTTCCTGCTTCACTGGTCAACGCTCAACCACTGAGCCACACCGGCCAGGCAAGACTTGGGCTTTTTAAAGAGTATTGTTACTGTCAAAAAAAAAAAAAAGCCACTTGAAATTCAAATGCTTTTCCCTTCATTTTTGCAAAGAGGCTGCAGGCCAACCAAGAAAACAGTTTAAAGAAATCTCAGGGACAGGGGTTGTGCTATCCCTTCAGGTGGACGGAAACGGATGCAAACAACAGAAACCAACTCTGCTCAATTACGAGAAAAGGGGTCTCTTCAAAGAATACCGGGCAACTGACAGAATCACGTGCAGGCCTCAAGGGCAGGTTCAAAGCCCATCTTTCAGGAGCGGCAAGTCAAACCACACGAGATCCGGGCTGTCGGGGCAGCCCCCCCCACTGCCCTGCGCTGAGTGCCACCGCCTTCTGAGGGAGGGAGGG